CGTACTTCAAATGTGTTATGGACACATGCATACCAATACCAAATGCTGTACAACTGTATTGTGCCAGTACTTTTAAGGCGACCACATAGGTCGATACATCTGCTACTTATGTACAGAGTAGGTTACGGAGTACGGAGTAGGTAGACCTTTGCAACTTCTCCAGGGGGGAAAAAAAGCCACAATACCAATACACCCAACTGGCAATAACAAATACCGTATACTGCCACCGCCCTCCGTTGTCTGGCCTGGTCTTCTATCTTTCTCTCCTCCACCTCCAAATCATCATTCCATCGTCTTTTTTCATCGCTTCCCATCGGAAATACCTACTCCATCTTCTTCATTTCTCTAGAGCTATTGCTGCTGGCACTAGCTGATTTACTGCATTAAAAACTACTTCACCGTTGCGCCTCTGAACACTGTATGGGATCACCCTTTTCCTTTTCCCCCCTCCTCGGGAGCCTGGCTTCGCCCTTTCTTCTTGATCGTCTTGTCTCTGTCAACCCCTCATGCCTGTAGACATTCTTCATTCTTGAGATTCTAGGACTTGCGGGGCCCCCGGGTGCTTTGTTGCTTATTTGCCCCCTATACTGACTTGTTCCTTATCAAGATGGCCGAGATCCGTCGCAAGCTCGTCATCGTTGGCGATGGTGCCTGCGGTAAGACCTGTCTGCTCATGTGAGTACCGAAAGTGGCTCCCTTATCGAGGGCGCTTACCCCATCCTCCGCGTTTACTTTTTTTTTGGTTCGGCCGCCTGACTTGAAGTTCACAGTGTTTTCTCCAAGGGCACCTTCCCCGAGGTAAGCTCCTATCCATGCTCGAAACCTCGATTCCCGAAATCACGACACAGGAATATACGCCGGAGAAGCATAATTCAAGAAGGATAATCTGACTTTGTTTCCGTCAGGTCTACGTCCCCACAGTCTTCGAGAACTACGTCGCCGATGTCGAGGTTGATAACAAGCACGTCGAGCTCGCTCTTTGGGATACTGCTGGCCAGGAAGATTACGACCGTCTCCGTCCTCTCTCATACCCCGACTCACATGTGATCCTGATCTGTTTCGCTGTGGACTCGCCCGATTCGCTCGACAACGTCCAGGAGAAGGTGCGTGTCTCATCTCTAATCGATTGCACATCCCGAAGCAAAGAAATGTTTGGGTGCGAAGTGGACTGAATGTGCTGACGTACCACAATAGTGGATCTCTGAGGTCCTGCACTTCTGCCAGGGTCTCCCTATTATCCTCGTCGGCTGTAAGAAGGATCTTCGCGACGACCGCAAGACTATTGATGAGCTTGCCAAGACTTCCCAGCGCCCCGTCTCGCAAGACCAGGTACGCCTTCCCGGCCCCTACAGCGATCCAACATAACTAATATATAACTACAGGGTGAGGAAGTCCGCAAGAAGATCGGTGCCTACAAGTACCTTGAGTGCTCTGCCCGTACCAACGAGGGTGTCCGTGAAGTCTTCGAGGCTGCCACTCGTGCTGCTCTCCTGAAGGCCGTTAAGGGCAAGGGAGGCCGCAAGCCTGGTAAGGGCTGCCTGATTCTCTAAACGAACTAATTGTTGAGGTGGTCCGGCTCGAGCGAAGATCATATGTATGAGAGCCTCCACGAAAAGCAATTGGTGACGTTGTTCTCGGAAAGGAGGAGGGCTTCATGGCCTGCATGCGAAATTGTGGATAATATCGAATCCGGGCACCCGAGTCGTGGAGGTTTCCCCCCCACAATTCAGCTGGTCGACCTTGTGTTTTTCTTTTGCCTTTATTTGCAGAATTTGTCTAGGGAGGCGTTGTCTTCATCATAACCCTGTGGGCTTTTCTTTTTCTTTTCCTCTCCTCGTTCCGATGCCGTGAATTTTTCAAATGCCAAACCACCGCGTTGAGGTGGCAATTATAGACCAACCGAAAAGCATCGAAAAAAAATAACCCAGAATTGGAACAGCCAGGAGATGAAGAGGGGAAGTCATTCAGTGTAGCACCGGTTGTGCAATTTGGTCAACGCCGTGACTCGCCTTCCCTGGTCGAGTTCCCCCCTGTGTCATAGATTCTTGTCCCTGCGGTTATCTCCCCATACGCGAAGAGCTTGATTCGGCTTTTACTGTTTTTCTCTCCCTCCTTTATTACATTTGTTTTTATGTTACAGCTTATGCATGGTACTGTCTATTTCCATCTGATGTGTACTTCCTTATGCGTAATCCCGTAGTCTGTGTAGCCAAGAGTTCATCAAGCTGTAACTATGTCAGTCCTTCCAACTACTAATTTATTTAAACAATTTCCATATCTATGTTCAAACGATGTTGTTTATAGCAGCATATCTATGTATGTACCTATTTCTAGAGAAACACATACAAGAAACCCCACACTCTACTCCACCAAGCCACATTCCAATTACCGATTCAAGCTTAGCAGACCCTCAATATAGCGCCTAGCGTCCATGCCAAGCCCCTCAACCAGCTTCGACGGCGCCATATCCGCACGGGAAGACCCCGTTAACCCAGCGGAAGAAGAAGCGCCGCCTAGATCACGGAAGAAGCGAGCGCCACTGCTGACACGGCCATGGCTCGCCGGGGAGATGTAGTCACTCGCTTTGCGGACGAGGAAGGCTTCCTGGGGTAGAGGAGCAGAGTGCACTTGAGACTGATTTGCGGAGAAGGAGCCATCGTTGTTGGCTAGGGATGAGAGGGCGACGGATGAAGAAGTGGTGGATAGCGCAGTTGGAGTTTGGGTTGGGCTGTGTGGGATGCGGACCCAGACGACCCACCATCCGCGGTGGGTTTTGCTTGTTCGTTCAAGCTCCTGCGGACGGGACCTCGTGTCTGTATATGTTGATAGGAGGCGGTGGTGGATTGCTAGGCTTTCAATGCGGGACCAGGGTGGTTGGGTTGATGATTGCGAGGGCGAGGGGGTGCGGGATGGTGAGCTGGTTGGTTGGGCGGAAGAGGAGGTGATGCTCGTGCTGGGGATGTTTGGGATAGAGGAGCGGATGGTTAGGTTAGATGGGTCGTAGACCAGGTCGTAAACCGGCTGTGTTCGGGTCGAGAAGCGTTTATTGGGGTCCGGGGAGGTCTCAGACATGGCGATTCGAGATGCTGCCATTGTTGGGGATGTTGATGATAGCAGGGGTTTCTGAAGAGGACCAAGTTGGTGGTGCATGCTTGAGTATAGTGATGGTGATGATAATGTTGGTGTTTGAGGATCAAAGAGGAATGTGAACATGAATGGTTGATTCTGGGGTGGTGTATTAGTGAGCTGATTTGGATGGAATCCTGAGAAGACACATACCACATATATCACAACTTGGAGCTTTGTCGGTGTAGTATCTGACCCATCTGCCAGGTGGACATGTAGTGTTCTATGCACTATTCGAGTCTTGGGCTTGTTGTTCTCGAATTCGGGCTCTGGGCTTCCTTCTTCTAAATCATCCAATTTTTCTAGATCATCACGAGGTCCAAGAACGAAACGACCAGAAGGACTGTTCTTCGTGCTGCTTTGGGGTTTTATGCCGGCCTGAGGCGATTGTACAGCGCCAATGGGCTGATTCCGCGGGGTTGAGATATTTGAATTGGATTCATCTCGCATTGGAGTAGAACTTTCAGGCGGTGTAGATGTCGACTTTGGAGAGAAACTCCAAGAGGAGCCATATCCAAGAGTGAGGTATTTCATGACCGCCTCGGTTGGAAATCCTGAATTCTCGCTGCTTTGGTCGGTGCGAAGCGGCGATGCCTCATTTCTTGTTCCTGCTTGGTTCTCCTCGATAACTTCCGGAGGTGGCTGTGGTGCCGCTATTATGAGTGGACGAGGTATGCCCGGCTTAAAATTGTGATCCGGCGTGGAGGGCTGAGGAGAATCTTCCGAAATTTGCCTTCCACGCTGCTTTCGTGGTTTACGGCGGCGCAGCGATGTTGGGTCCCGCCCAACTCCATACGCAGCATCCCCAAACCGATAAATGCATTCCATCCAATGTGATACATGCGCCAATGAGTGCCGAGAAAGAGCACCGACACCAGTAAATATCACACCATCGGATGGTCGAGGATCATTATCTGCCCCAAGCCATTGACTTTGGTTATTTGAGCCTGCCAAAGCAGGAGACCCATCGAACCGTGGAGACGGATCGCCAAACCTGGAGACAACCAAGTCCACCAACCCATCAGTCCTTGTCACAAAGTCTTCAAGTACTTCTCTTTCCCCGCTGCCCCACTCTTCCTCCCCGACGCCGATCCCCAACTCTCCTCCCGCAGATAGTTTGATGCCATTATAGATTTCGACAATTGGGTTTCCGGTCAACAGAAGTTCCCAATTCCACGCAAAATTCTCCCAGAAACGCTCAAGAAACAGACAAAATGTGGACCTGCCGACTTGATGGAGGATGTCGTCCAATTTGAAGTCATGGTGTAGAAGGAATTCCGAATGGGCGCGACGTAATTGCTGGATCAGTAGAGGCGGCGGTCCCATCTCTCGCGATGAATAATGAAATGCCGGAGAGTCGGATAGTCCAGAGGATCTCTGGGGTGTATCGGTGGGAATTCGGGTCAGGTCGATTGACTAGCTTAACATAAGCTTTGTGATCTGTGCCGTTGTCTCAACCACTTACGGCAACAATCCACCAGTCCTTCTCCAACTCAAGTAGAACGACCCGCGATTTATCTGTCTCAACATATTCCAGTGTCTTGCCAGCTGAGAAATTACTGTATATCAAGCACGATTAGATTGGTTCATTTGCGGGGTTTGCGGAGATGCCGACCTCGCAAAGTTGACCATGCCCTGCGCCAGACCTATTTGGCGCAATCTCTCATTCCCTTCATCTTCAGGGCATTTGTTTGCTTCACCTTCTGCAGTGGAGCCATCGATGCGCCGTGCATAGCTCGATTTCGAAGTATAGAACACGATCTGGTCCGCTATCGTCTCGTCGGTAGGTCCAAGGGTCGGATTATAGATGGCAAGGTAGGAAAGTTGCGCTGGAATCACCGAATCATGATCGCTTTCGTTCATCGCATCGTTGGATGGCGTCTGGAGGTCGTACCAGACAGGAAACAACGGTAAAGGTTGAAAGACAGATGCATCTGAAGTGGGATCTGGGGTGGATGCTGACATCACGTGGTTTATCGATAAGCTACTATGGAAGCTTCAACTTTCCCTCCTGGTGTCTTTTCAACTGCTGGTAATTATCCACCAGAATTATGTGGATTATTCCAGGTCCAGGGAGCCTACGTTTTTGTAGGAGACCGGTGGTCCTTCAAGGGCTCGCCTTCAGGTCATATGCTACCAAGACCTCCGATCCACTCCGCATTCTCTTTTGCGGCTCTGATGAATTCAGTATCGCCCACTTGAAAGCTCTCCATGCATATCATTTGAAACAACCGGAACGTATTTCCTCCATTGATGTCGTCTGTAGACCTGGAAAGAGAGTTGGAAGAGGACTGAAACAAATCCGGGAAGGTTAGCTTCAATTTACGCTTGAATGGCCGTGTTTGCTGATTCAATTTCCCTCAGTACCGCTAAAAGCGGCTGCATCTGCTCTCTCCCTTCCGATCCATGAGATTGACACCTTTACTGGATGGACAGTACATAATACCAAAACCCAAGCCAATTGGTGTATTCGCTGACTGTGCTAGCCCCCGTCCTCCCCGAACGGTAACATAAACTTGGTGATTGCCGTATCATTCGGACTTTTTGTTCCACCACGCATATTGAATGGTGCCAAGTATGGAGGCTTGAATGTGCACCCCTCGTTACTACCAAAGTATGTGATTTTTACATGCTCAATTAAAGAGGAAGACGACTGATCTGATTATTTAGCTTCCGTGGTCCTGCACCGCTTCATCATGCTCTTCTCGCCGGCGAGACCACTACTGGTGTGACGGTTCAGACCTTGCATTCAAAACACTTTGACCACGGAGTGATTCTATCACAAACGCCGGCTCCGGGTTTCGAAATCCCCAATCCAGAGTCATGCACTGTTCCCGAGTTGGTGGATTTTGTTGCACCTAAAGGAGCAGAAATGCTCGTGGAAAGCATTGAAAAGGGTTTATTTGTCCCTCCCATTGCAAATGCTGGTGCTGAACAGACTGGCGAGTTGAAACACGCACCTAAGATCACACCACAGGACCGGCACATCAACTGGGTAAACTGGACCTTGGAAGAAATCAACAGACGTAACCGAGTGATTGGACCTCTCTGGAGCAAGGCCCTCTGTGCAAGCAATCCTGCAGATGGACCTCTGTCATTCCAACAGAAACGAGTCATTCTCACAGATACAGAGGAGGTTGACCCTCCTGAGGGATGCGATTCGTTCTCAATCCTCCCTGGTCTGCCGTTTACAAATGCTTCCCACCCTGTAGAGCCAAAGAAGTCACGGAAGCTATACGTTTTTACCGCTGATGGCAAGGTTCTACGCATCAACCGGATGAAAGTGGAAGGCGAACAAGATGCAGAGGGCCTGCGAGCCGCTATCAAAGCTCGCATGTTTGGTGATCGAGCATTCCAATATGAAGGTCGGGAACTGACTCCCTTCCGCAACCCTCTTGTATAAATATGATAATGTTCAGTGTACTACCACCTATGTTCTAACAATACGACTCCGTTTCCTCACCTCTATTAGATCCCGAAGCCAGAATCTAAAAGGATTGTCAGTTTCAACTCAACCCGCTGAACCCGAGACTCATACCAATTTGAACCGTTTGACCGGTTATAGAGGCATTCTTGGCCAAGGTAATAAACATGTCCGCGCAGTCTTCCACCTCGGGCTATAGCGAGATTTATTAGCGCACAAGGTCCTTTGTAAGAGTTAAGGGAGACCAGAATTGCTTACCGCTCGCTTGAGGGTTGTCGCATTTGTCCAGCTCTCGATTTTATCGGACGGGAAGCGTTGACCCTGGGATATTCTCAGTATTCGTCAATGCTAGCATTGAGCATGTGTTACTTACCCATTCAGTGAGCAACAGACCAGGAAGAATAGCATTGACGCGAATTTTCGCGCCCTGGCTCTTAGCAAGACATTTCATAAGATGGATAGCTGGGTGATACAGAGTCAGTAACCAAACAGTGTGATCTATAAGAAGGATAGCATACATGCGGCTTTCGAGACAGCGTAAGGCAAGCTGCTTCCACTTGGCGTGGCGCCCTGGAAAAGACGCAATTAGTATTTCAACGTTGCTATATTAGTGGAAATTTCAAGACCATTTGGCCTGTTTTCGGCAGCTTACCGCAATTGAGGCTGTGATGAGGAAAACACCACCTTCAGGGTTCGCATTGAACGTGGGCAAAGCTGCCTTGAACAGGTAAAAGCTGCTCTTGACATTGACCGACCAGCACTGGTTCAATAGTCAGCCTAACAAGAACATCTATTCACCGAGGGCGCATTCGGTACCTTATCCCAGTCATCGTCGTCCATGGCATCAAGATCACCGAAGTTGGTCATTTTTGTCCATCCCTTCTGGTATATCAGCATTTTCCATCCCTCTTGGGATTGACCGTATAACTCACGGCATTTGAGATAATAATATCCAAGCCACCCAGCTTCTCGATTGTGGTTTTGACAGCATTGATGCAGTCATCTTTGACTCCAGCATCCTGTTTCCAGATGTAAGACAGTGTCAGTGGATCATCTCTAGACAAAATATGCCCTATTTTATTGGATTTGAGTGCCTTACGCCTTGAATAACCACTGTCTTTACACCATATTTGGTTGCAATGTCCGAGGCAAGCTTATCCGCAGCCTCCTTGTTGGACATATAGTTGATAGCAACGTTGCTTCCCTCGGAGGCGAATTTCTCGGCTGAAAGAGCACCTAGCCCTCTGTTTAACCAAGTTAGCTTGTTGACCGGAGTATAGTTTCACGCTCAAATTGAAGCTTCCTACCGAGAGCCACCGGTGATCAAGACATTGCGACCTGACAAGGAGTAGGGCATGGTGGGTAGAATTTTCAATTGCTTTGTTTCAAAGAGGAGAGATAGAGAGACAGAGAGACATAAGATTGAAATATACAAAAGAGGTTGAAGAAATTACCGAGGAACATCCGATGCGGGGTAGGTGGGAGTCATAACAATTAATAGCCTGGAATTAACATGAGCTTTGAAGAGTCATTAGATGACTGGAAGAGAAGAAGTCAACCACTTGCCTCGTTTTCTCGGAGCTTTTCTCAGTGGTTGAGGATTAACTTCAGCTTCGATGTAACACACTAACTATGCCCAGGTGTAATGGATATATCCAGTCAGACAGTCCAGGCACACGGGCATCCTGCATACGATTGCTCTGGTTTTGGGTCATCTACGTGGGAAAAGAAAGGGATATATAGTCTAGCATCTACGTTGACGGTGTGTGGAGAGGGAATTAGTGCGGAACCAGATCCCACGCTGCGTGCCAATCGATTCATTTGATTCATTGCTTACCTAGATAACTACCTGGTGAGGGTGAGAGCATCATATCTTGCGATATCTGCAAACTGCAAATATCAGATCGATGATACTGTTAGAACAAACTAGGCCAATGTAGATATGAAGCGCTTAGATCACAAGCCATCCTGCATATTGCGTTCTCTTCATCCCCCACCAGGCCCGTCGTCCGGCTTGGGCAGGCCATTGAACAAGAAAACGGTCGGCCAGAGGCAACAGCAAGACGCCAGAGGTACTGAGAGAGCTCACCCGGGCCCATGATTCGATGTAAATAGTCCGCAGCTTTGGTGCCGATGTAAACGAGGAGGGTGTTCGCAGACCTAGACACAAGGCAGTGCATTTGGCCAAACGTAAAAAGAAACGGATGAGTTTTGCGCCTGCGACAACGCACACTGCCGTAGCGGGACCGTTCGTGAGAATTAGATCAGGGTAAAGCGAGATGTACTCCTTTGGGAGCTTTTGGTCTGGGTGTAGTCCGCGAAGCACATTGAGACAAGCCCAGAAACATTGAAGCGTAGAGAATGGCGCGGTGAGATAGGATTGATGGACTCGTCGGGCACGTGGCACTGTAACAATAGTGTAATTGTTGTTATGGGCATGGCCCTGAGAACTTTGTACATGTTGAGCCTCAAAATCCTTGGCTTTGTCTGCACTGAAGTTATCTCCGGAGCTCACGAGGTATGTCCGATACGTGTAGATTTGGGGGTCGAAATTCATGCGCTCAAGCATGTAAAGCATCTCAGCTGTATGACCACCACTTCCAAGGACTACCAAAAGGTGGGTAGGAGATCCCCTTGGGCGACATTTGGGGGGAATGGTATTCTGGGAGATTGTGAGGGAGACGAGTAGGACCTAGGAGAGATAGACCAGTTAGATTGATGCAATTGTACGAGTAAAGGGTACTCACGAGGAGTATGCTGGCCCCAAGTGTAATGACCAGGACAAAACACCACAGGAGCAAGTTCCAGAAGGATAAAGAAGCAAGAGAGAAGGTCATCTTTGCCCACTTTTGTATGGTCTCCAGGGTTCAGTGAGACAGCCTGAGGATTTTAGTGTATCATTATCATAATAATGGAACTGAAGAATAACAGAAAGAGAAAGAAAAGAAAAAAGAAAGGTAATAACAATGGCAATAAGGTAGTCAAGTGTAAGTTCTTAAGTGCAGATCTTCCATAAAATTGGAGTCGCGGTACTCCATACACGTCCCCCGCACGTGCAAGCTCCGACTGGTTTTATTTTCCTCTCTTTGGCATCCGGAACCCGTCTCCCTTGTTTACACCAACGCTGTTACTTGCATTTATTCCCATGTTACTATGTCATGGCTTCTCTATTTTCTAAGCGTTTGACCTGCTTTTATTGTGGGCAGCGGTCCGCTCGCTCTCATCGCGGACCTATTCGCAATTTCCGCTGTGAACATTGTGAGGCTGATAACTTCTTTGACGAGGTAGATTCATTATCCCTTCGAATCTACTTGTATTATACTAATTATCGTTCTCCAAACAGAAAGGAGAAATTACAGATCCACCGGCTGTGGTCACCAACGCTGAAGCCTACGCGCCTGGCGCATCAGAACCGCCCTTCGAATCAACAGATTTCGGTGGATCCCAGTCATTTTGCGCCAAATGTACTCGGAATCAGCATCTATTCACGAGCTCACTGGCCTCCTACTTCCCGCCTTCAGACGATCCCACCGATAGCGAATACGAACGCGGGTATGAGGAGTTCCGCAGAAGCCTAGAGGACCGATACCCCCAGGTTTGCGAGTCTTGCGAACCCATCGTGAAATCTCGCATCAGAAGAGCTGGCTATGAAGCGAAATCGGATCACCTCAGGCGTATGATGGATCAAAGCCGAGCAAACCGAGAATCACGACAGGCGAGAAACCGGAGCTGGAGAAGCTTGCTTCTTCTTGTGGGTGCACTTGCATATTGGGCTAGTATTGCAGGTCAGCTAGCCTGGGACTTGATCAGTGTAGCCACTGTCTCCCAGATCTCGCCAAATTTCAACTATTTACCCGACACCGAACAACCTCAACCGGCACCCAACTCTATAACCTCGTGCATCACTCAGTCTATCCGTTTACAACGCATCCCGAGCGGATGTTCGCCTGACCTAGCACCAACTGCTGGTCTGGCATTGATCGCAGGTGCACTTTCGCTCTGGTGGAATCCAAAGCTGCGCATGAAGATAGACGGAATGCCGGGTAAATTCCGCGGTCTTGCAGAGTACTACCAAGCTCAACTCATCGTCATGGTGGTACGATGTGTTTTCTGGGCAGTGGTCAAGGATCCGTCTACCAGTGGGTTAGAACCCAAATTGATTCCGGCCTTCCATGCTTTAATGATGGTTTTCACTATTCTTGTGAGTATGTCTTGACCTTTGGGCTTTCCATGCGCTAACTTATGGCAGTCGGTTTTGTTCTCTCGATATGTTGTCAGCTACTCTAGTCGTCCACTCGTAAATTGGTCTGATAACAGCTGGGAAACCCAGTTCGAAATCCCCAAGGAATCTTCTTCTGCACAGCCCGAGTCACCTGTGCAGACCCGCACCACAAGATCTGGCGGAACACCGAAGGCAAACACTAGTGGACTGCAGCAGCGCTTTCCGATTAACAAACTTGCCCAGCCCCAACCCACGTCACCTGTCGAGCAGTCGCTTACGGTTGCCTCCAATAATACTGATAATGATGGCATGGACTGGTCCCCTTCTATTACCCATAACCTCCGACCGACTGTGACACGGCGAGATCAGCCGTCTGTGCTCGACGGTCCTCATCCATTTCAGGGGCAGATCCCAGCTGCCCCGACGCCTCCTGCGTGGAAGCTTCGCACCCAGACTTCAACGAAACCAATCGAGCAAGTAATTCAGCCTAACCCGTTCCACCGCAGTCCTATCCAACCACAAGGCCAATGGCAGCAAAGGCGCCCCGATGCTGAACCAGTGTTCAAGGAACCGAAATTCTTTCCTCCCCATGATCATGATACATCAACTGGACTGGAAACGCTGTTTGACCGTGCTTTCAATTTCCAGTCCGATTCTGCGCAAGGACCTAGCTGGTCTCAGCAACCGCAGAACAAGGGTTCGCCTCTCGACGAGACGCAAAGTTATCTCTTTTATGGGTGTCTTCGGCTAGGTCTGCTAGTCAGCTTCATCAGTGCATGGAGTATCTCTCAAAATCACCAGGTCTTGATTCCAGGAAATTACGTGGAGATCGCTGCCCTAGGCGCGGCAAGCCTTGTTGCAGGGTTCGCTTTGATCACCATGGTACAAAGGCCTCTTGTGCAATGGAATGGAATGGAGATTTTGATTTCTATCACCGAACTTGCCGCCGCTGTTCACATGGGCGCACATTTACCCGCAGTTTCGCTTAATCGAGACTACTTCGATCGCTATGGCAAACTCCTCCTGGTTTTCATGGCCGCACAAGAAACTATGAATGTGTTATCCTTCTACAATAAGGTCAGGTTAGAAAGTCAACAAAACTCAGGATCTGTATCACCACAGCCACAGCCACAATCACCGCATTTGAGTCAATCGGGTGCCCTTGACTGGGCCGGGAGTCAATCTTCATCCAAGTCCACACCTGAGCCTCGAGTCAGCAGCCCGCCTGTGCACCGATCATTTGGGTCACAACCATCCGCTCCTCCACTTTCATTTGGGGATACCGATGCAGCCTCCAGTTTCTCTTCAGCATTACCTTCCGTGCCACAGTATGGGCTTACCTCGTCCCGAACTGTCCACTCGTTCCCCGCTGCCAATCAGGACACCTTCAACCAAAACAGAAACCCACATAGTTTCACCATGGAATCTCTAAAGCAAATTGACCCCACGTCTGATTATGAGCGAGACTCGGATACCGAGACTATAGCCACAACTACAACCGCTGCCACAAATTTCACTAACCGCAACATTCGGTATGGGAATAACCCCGGTCTGGGTTCTAACCCCTTTTATTCACCCCGGCGGAATGGTCTCGGAACAGGCATAGGCGGTTTGAGCTTGGATGATGATCCTACTCCCCGCCGCATGACTCGCAGCCAGACTCAGCATGGGCTACTTGGTCGGCGTCCGACCAACTACGTCCGATGATTTTTTTGTATTTCATTTTGTATTCATCTTTTCGTTCTTTTTAAAATTTCTCGCTTTGTTTGTTCGTTACACCACTGGTCATTCTCTGCCCTGATCATCACTTGCAGACTGGATGGACATTGAACCAGTCGTTTTCTTTCCTTTTTCCCCTCTTTCGGTCTCCCAGTTTGATCCAAGCGAATGTGATGGGTTCATAGCGCAGGCGAATGTTGTGTTTTTTTTTTTTTTTGGCCTTATATTAATGGGCTTGGCAGTTCTCCGAGGTGTTGGGACCGCTGTACATAACCTTCGAGGGGGTCGGACTACCCAGGTACTTTGATGATGTCTATGAAATTATGATGACAGATGTGAATACTCTTTGAAACCCAGATATTGATTTCTTAAATTTGATCGCTTTCAATATTCATTCATTGACATTCAACCTAGAC